TAGATTGCCAGCGCCAGAGACCTGGGGTGGATGGGCGTGCTCAGGAGAGAGGCTGTGGGGTGGTTCCAGGCAGTCAGGGTCTGCCAAGTGCGGTGCTGGCACCAGCACAATGCAGGGGCGTGGCCGGGATGGTGCCAGCACAGAAGGAGTGCAGTGGAGTCAGGGCCAGTGGGGAGGAGGCCTGACAGTCAGCAGGGGATATTTTAAGCTGCCAGTAGCTCATCAGAAGGGCGGTTTACCATCTCAGCTCCTGCTGCCACTGGGAACTTGTGAAGGTGGCAGGGGAGGTACAGGGTTTCAGTGTTCTCAGGACACCTGCGGATTTTGGCGAAAAAGTTTAGAGAAACAGCCTTCCCCAGATCTGTCCTGGACGAAACAAACCACCAAAAAGCGATGGATACAGTTTCCCTCTCCTCGGTGATCCCGTTTGTGGGCGAGAGCAGCAGAGAGGCCGGGGCCTTGGCTGGCGGCAGGCTTGGTTTCTGTGTTGGAAGGTGAAACCTCACCCCGCCAGAGCGTGGGAGGACCTAATGTCCAGCCCTGGCTCCGCCACTTGCTGGCCGCACTGTAACCTAGGCTACGTCATGGGCCATCTTCAAGCCCACTTCGAAAGGATGCTGATTCTGTCACGCCTTCCTCCCAAAGGGAGCAGGGCTGGTGTAAGGGCTTCAATATCTGGGGGAAATAAGGTGTGAAACTGTGAGGTGTTACATCCACACAAGGTGGTATTGAGAGCTTCCAGCGAGTAACTCCCCCACCTGCATTCCTGCATCCCTGCTGAGCAGCAGTTCCTCCCCCTTCTAATGGGCTACCCTGGGGGCCGGGGCGGCCTCCCTCGCGAAGGTGGGCTGCAGAGAGGTTTCTGAGGCCCTGGGGAGAGGCTAAGTGAAGCTAGATTCCCACCTCTTGCTGGTGTCTACCTCCAAAGAGGATGATGAAGTACGGAGAACACTGACTGAAATCAATTAGAGGAATCAATGTCCCTGAGTGCAGTATGCATTTCTTCCTTCCCACCCTGCCCCGAACAGCCCTGTTCACTCTATGGGACTCAGAAGGTTTAGTTAAGTCCCTGCTGGTCTCCATCCCCAGGCTAGTTCGCTCTGACCCGCTGGGCCTCGGAATCTGGAGCAGCCCTGTGGGAAGGGAATGTAGGTGAGTGGGTCAGCCTGCCATTAGGAGGGAGACGGGGGCGGGAACAGGGATGGGAAAGTGCGCAGATGGTCCACGCCTCGGGGCGCTGAGCTGGACGCTGGCATGTGTCGTGATAAGACAGGGTCCTTTCTTGGCTCTAGACTTGAACTCCAAGGAAGAGGCCAGACACGGTCACAGGAAAGATAAAAAAGAAATTTCAATTCTCCTGATTTCTTTCCTCTGCTTCTGGATGGGGCAGGGAGAAGGGGAGTATTTTAGATGTTCTGAATTGGGATGGGAAAATTTATAGCCTGGAGAGCTGTCACTTTATTTATTCAGGGCACAGAGGCTACCAGGGCAGACCCTGGATCCCAACTGCCAGGGTTTGAATCCTGGTTCTGCCACTTTAAAGATGACCTTAGGCAAGTTAAATCACCCCCTTTTATTGGCCTTAGTTGTCTCATTTGTAAATTGGGGCTATAGTAACTCCCCCTTAGAGATATTATAAGAATTAAAGGAATGTCAACATGTATCTTGTCATAAAGTTGGTACCTTATTATTTTTTCCAGTGACAAAGTCTGAGAAGTCAGGGCTGGTCACTTTATCCTGGCCTGGTCACTGAGTAGAAGGTAACTTCCCTCTTCTTTGAATCTATAACCTGTGTTGAATTTATCACCAACATCTTGCTGATTCACCTTTGAGATGGAGTTTTTTTCCCCCTTTTTGATGGGGGGAGGCAGTTAGGTTTACTTATTTATTTATTCTTGGAGGAGGTACTGGGGGTTGAACCCGGGACCCCACACACGCTAAGCACGCGCTCTACCACTGGAGCATGCGCCCTTCCCCTTGCTGATTCATCTTTCCCCGGTCTCTGACAACTTCCTCCTCCCGTCCAGGCCCACTGCCACCTCCCGTTTTGGACCCTCGTTACCTTGGGCCCAGACTGTTAAAATCACCTCCTCACTGGTCTCCTGTCTCCATCCTTCAAAGCGTTGTCAGATCAATCTTCTGAAACACCATTCTCATCATGCCACCGGCCTGCTCAGAAACCTTCAGCGGCTCCTAGGGGAGCAAGTGAGAAGGCTTCAGTGCTTGTCCTCCGCCGTGCATCCCAATCAGACCCCCCAGACCTTCCCCGCCAGGCCCCTCCCCACCTGTGTCCTTGCTTCCTCCCAACGCTTGGACTCTTCTCCAGCATTTCTTACCCCTGTGCTTTGCCACGCTGTCCCCTTCCCACAGTGCCCTCCTCTGTGTTCAGCCAAATCCTACCATCCTTCAGGGTCCAGCTTGAATCCTACTTCCCTTGGCAAGCCCTCCTGAAACCCATTGGTCTTAACCCTTCCTTTCTCTTATATGGCCCCAGGGTGCTTTCGGGTTGCTCAGTGCTTTTATGGGTTCGTGACCTAACGTCACCTGTGCTTCCATGACAAGGGAAGTTCTGCTCGGGGTCATATTCCCCATAGCCCTTGGCACTGTGGTGGGGGATCCGGTAAGTCTGTGCTGGTTGATGGATTGTGGGAAGCCCCTGGTGGGAAGCGGCTGTCCCATGGCTGAGGGGACCTCTGCTCACCAGCTCCAAGGTTTCTGACATGTCTTAGCTGGCACCTTCTTTTTATGTGTGATTGGCTTAAAATTTTTTTGGGGGGAAGTGGAGGTAATTAATTAATTAATTAATTTTTAATGGAGATACTGGGGATTGAACCCGGGACCTCATGCATGCTAAGCTTGAGCTATACCACTGAGCTATACCCACCCTCTCCTGGTTGGTTTTCATCTCTGGGGCAAGGGAACACTCTCGGCTTTTGCTCTGCGGAAGGAAAAGAGGCGCTGAGATTCTGCTGGGAGCTACACAAGTCTGGGCAGTTGAGCTGTGTGGGTAACGTGCGCGCGCATGCGTGCATACTAGGGTGGGCCTGCAACCCACCCCCCTTCCACTAGTCCTTCTGCTCCCCTTCTGCCCTTGCCCTCCAGAGAGTTCACTCCACCCGACATGGTGGCTTAAAGAGGTGAGGGGAGAGGAAGAGATTAACGGCTCAAGTGTCCTCTCTACCCCTCCCTGCACATGGTAACTCCTGGATCTGAGATGGCGGAGGGTCTGTCCTGGGTGGGCAGGAGGCTCATTTGCCCATGAGCTGAGGAGCAGCTGGGATGGGTCCTTGGAGGCTGATGCAGGGTATGGTCCTGGGGGTGTGTGTGAAGGTGTATCTGTGAACTTAAGTGTATCTGCTTGCGCCACCTGGGAGGCCCTCCTTTCTCCATGACTCCCTCCTGCAAGATCTCCTACCCTTGCCCCTCTACAAAGTCGTTTCCATTTCCCTTGAGTCCCCATTGCCTTTTATCACTGCTTCTCATCTGCCACTTAGGGTTTTATGTCTTGTCATAGGTTCCTAATCCCTCTCCTGGATCCTGGAGGAAAGGGGTGACATTTTATGAACAACCTTCAAAGAGCTGTTTGACCAGCTAGCCTGTGTACGGCATCTCATCTCTCCCAGGTTGGGTTTTTTATCCCCATTTTATAGATGAGAAAACTGAGGCTCAGAGAGATTAAATTGCCTATGGCTAGTATATGTCCATCTGTATTTCCTCTGCAGATTTTGGGGGCAGGGGGTGGCAACCTTACAGGAGATGCTCAGGAAATCGTGGAGTGACACTTGGACTCTGCCATACCTAAGAGCAGCTCAGGTGGAGGGTGGGGTCAGCAGAGAGTGAGGGGTAGTGGGGGATGCTGGTATAGACAGGAGGAAAGAGAGGGCCCAAGGTCAGAGGGCCCCAGAGCCGTAACAAGCTGAATGTTGGTCTAATTGATGTTGTCCGCTGTCCTTGTGAAGGCTGGGTAACCCGGAGGCCCTAAAGGACCTCAACCACTCACTTCCGGCTACTAGATTCCCCTCCCTCTGCCATGGGAAATCAGTGGTGTCCATCATTTCTCTGCAACAAAGCTCCCAAATACGCTTCAGAGAATTTTCCTTCTTATGCCCAGCCAGAGTTAAAAGCAAGCTGAAAAAAATGTTTTGAGGTGGGAGGAGGGAGAGATACGTGCTCAGTAGTAATTTTGGAGCTTGGAGTAGGGCCCTTGGAAGAGGGAAGGCGTGCAGTGGGATACGAAAATGGGGTGGCGGAGGCCATTTGGGCAAGCAGAAGGCCCTGGAAGCAGAAATGAGGGAGAAAGTTCATTTACACCAGGCTTCTAGCCTCTGGCCTCTGGTCCAAGCCAACCCAGAAATACAGTTACCAGGTTTTCATCCTTTAACCGAAACTTTTCTGAAACTGATTTCTTAAGTCCCTCAGTTTTTGGAAATAAGTCAGGAGAAGTTGTCAGATGTGAAGGCATTTCCTAGAAGAGGAGAGGCCCCGAGGAATGGCAGGGAGGGCGCCCCGAGGGGACTTTCCCCAGCTCCAAGCCCCAAGGCTTCTTGGGCCAGGTCCTACACTAACCCGCTAGGGCCACGCCTCCAAGTGGGGACCATTCAATGGCAGGGGGACAGGATGGCGCGAGGGCCGATGCTCCAGGACAGGCCAAATGGGAGGCGTTCGACCCTCGCTCTGCGCTTCCAAGCCTGGAGAAGCCGCGTTCCCGCCTAAATCCGCAAAATGGAAGTTGCTCCCTCTAGCTTTTCCACTAGCGAAGGCTGCCGGTTCTGCGAGTGTCCCCTCCCTTCGCGCCCAGGTCCATTACTAGCGTTTACTCTCTTCCAGAGTCTTGTTCATTTAAAACTGCTTCTTAAAAGGCACTACCAAATCCACCTTAGATCCAGCCCAGATCCGGTTTGGGGTAGCGCGGAAAGTTTACGTGCGAGGCACTGCGTGTACCCCGCCCCAGCACACGGGGTGCGTGCGCGGAGCTGCGTGCAGGAATGTGTGCACGAGAGCCGGGGGATGCAGGGCAGCCCTAACGTAGCTGAGGATGTGTCAGGTGGGAGCGTGAAACTGGGGTGCCCAGTGTGCGTGGGTGTGCCCGCGCGTGTCCACAGCCCACCGTCTCGCCGCCCCCTCTTGCCGGAACGTGTCAGCAACCTCACCTTTCCTTCAGCCCTCTCCCAGCCAGACGCTTCCTTTTTGGTGCTTCTGGGCGTTTACAGTAAATTCCGTGACTAAAACACGCCGGTGAGCCCGGCCCATGGACAGATGGATCAATCGCCCCCTTCCCGGATGGGGGAGGGGACCCCCACCCGGAGCCTCGGAAGCGGGGAGCTGCCGGCTGCCTTGGGAGAACTCCCCGGAGCCCAGCCCACTGCCGAGCTCCCACCGCGGAGCCCGGCGCCAGAGCCCGGTCCCGGGGCGCTCCCGCCGGGGCTGGGTGCAGCCCTTCTCCCCGACCCCTTAACGCGCGGTTAGGGGAGGTTCCTCGCCCAACGAGAAGGCAGCCAGGGCGCCCCGGCTCGGCAGCCTTCTTCCCGCACCCGGGAAAGGGAGACAAGTCTCGAAGGGCTGCGCCGCTGGGATGTGCGGGGGTCGAGCGCGCCGCGGGCGTGCGGGGAAAGTTCTGGAGCCCCGCGTGGAGAGCACACGTGTATGCGTACGCGGGGCTCGACCCGGGCAGGCAGGCGGCGCGGGGACGCTGGGGGCTGGCGCCGGAGCGGGGGTCCTTCTCCCTTGCGCCTTCGGGGACAAGCTCTGCTTCGGCTCCCCGGCCGAAGGATGCAACCGCCCGCGGAGGGTGCAGCCCCCTCCCCAGACC